CATGCATCTTGTGTGTAGTGATCCAATATCGTTACCATAGCCTTCCCCTTTAACAGTTATTACGAGCCCTGGCTCAGCCTTACGGCCCGTCTACACTACAGGCATCGAAAAATGCTTTCAACGCTTCGCCCATTCACTTGAAAGGGGTGACGTAGAAGATTTTTAATCTTCGCCGAACTGCATTGTGGGGAGCATGGCATGGCTTTGCAAGCATCACGAGCATCTATCGGCATCAAAAGTTGAACAATGTTCAACTTTTGAGGCTCGATGCTTGGCATCAGCAAATCAAATCCAGTTTATGCAAATCCCGCCAGTGCAAGCGCAGCCAATCAAACCGCGTGCAAGCTGGGAGAGCCAGACCGCAGTTCATTTCCTCATATTCCAAACGAGATATTACGGTAGCAAATCACCCGGTTCTTTACGACCAGAACTATTTACCGGGATGCAAACCGGAGGAACCAGGCATGGAGGGAGGTGGCAGAGACAGTGGGTGAAACTGGTAGGTTTTCTCCTGTTTGGGGATTTTATATCCAGTTTACTTCGTTTTAACATTGCTATTGCTTTGTATGTCGGGGGCAGGAGATTCATGTGATTGGTTGTTGGTCGCGTTGCTCGCAAAAAATCGCCAAGCTTCAGACACGCCCAGCTTCAAGATTTCTTGATGCCTGTAGTGTAGACGGGCCGTTACAGTATCGACTTAGTGAGAGGGTTTTGAAAGCCTCTAGAAAGGAGGCTTTTTTTAATTCAGATATATAAATTGTTAAATAGATCATTTTAACTGTTGTTCATTTTAAATCATAACTCAATATTATTTGTTTATCTTTTGTGGTGCGGCATTAATGCCACGCCAATTGATAGAAGACTTTAAGGAATTGATTTAAGGAATTAGGAAATCTTCCATGGGAGCGATTTATTAAGGCGGCGTTTACACAAGAACGAAACGGGTTGTATCTGCTACTTTTCTTTTTTGCATAGCCCGTTCGTTCACACGAGGCCGTAGCGGAACCACGGAAACTGAACCCGCAAACGATAACGGGTCCCAAGGTGGATAGGTCTGCGGACGGAAACGCTCTGGGGGGCCAAACGGCTCTGTGTGTACGCCCTATACGATCATTTCCTGATAACGATGAAGCCATACCTCTGCTGCTCACTGCTGTAACATGGTCAGTAGCTACTGACCATGCTACAGATGTTAGTGCAAAATCTACAGCTCCTCTACCACAACCATCAGCAACAAGTGGACGTGGAGAATTACATGTTGCTAAATCCATCGTGGGGCATAAACAGAAGGGCAACCATGGCAACCATGCTCGGGGGTCTTCTTCGCCACTAACAGGCCCGGCATATGTAAAACAGCATCTCCAGTGGTCTCGTGTGAACGGACACGTTAAATAAGCCGAATGCGTGTGAACGGAAGACTTTTTTGATAACGAATTCGGTCCGTTTGCGTTTCCGTTTAAACGGGGTCTAAGAGGGGACACGAGGAGCATCATTTTGCTAAAAGAGAAGCTACCTATGCCATCTAGAGGTGTAAACCAGATTACACCAGTACTTGTCACATCACCACTTTGTTGTAGACTCACCAGCAGTACCAACACCCAGGCCGCTTAAAGACACCAGATTTGGGTCCGCTGGGGCCATCCCCCTGTCAATCACGGTCCAAGACTCTGAAACACACACAGATCACAGATGCTCTAAAAAAGGTAATAATCAACACAATTAACTTTGACTTAATCGTCAGTGGATCACTGGGATCTGTATAACTAAGTAAATATGACGAAATCTGTTTGTCAGCCTTGTTTCCATGACCATGACCAGACTGTGATTCAAGGTTAAACTCTGAAAAGCATAAAAAGGAAAATTAAAAAAAAGACATTTTTGTCCTAAGAATAATACTAAATTAGCTGCCAAAATCACACTGCCCCACTGTGTATTCAGCAGGTACTTGGAAGATTATGATTTGCCCAGTGGTCTTTGAATTAATTAGGCAATATATCAGTATTGGGACACAAGAGTACTTCTTGTGTTAGACTTCTAATATGGTATAAGGGTTGTCTTTTCGTGGTTCCAGGCTGTATTATAGAGAAGTGATGTGATTTTCTCCTACATGAACATAATATCCACGTTACTAATCATTATTTATCAATAAAATAAAGCTGTAAATCATTTATAAAAAGGAAAAATAGTCAAACCTGCAATATGTTGCAATATCAACAGAGGCATTTGGTAAAAGATATTGTAATATTTGATTAACTTCATATCCCCAAGATCCCTAGCTGAGCAGCCTTGAGGTCAGATTTACTGTTGTGTCCAATGCCAAAAATGAACTTTAAACTTTATAATCTTTAAGTCTATTATTTTATAATGCTATCAAATGTAGTTGCAACAGTTTTATGGATACCTGATCCATTTATTAAGGTAACTTTAGCATCAATAGCCGTCCTGCTTATCAATCAGCGAGTCTATTACTATGACACTGCAGTCAATGTAAAGGTTATTGGATAGTTCAAGGTTTTTGGAATGCAATAAAGCTTTACACACAATTAAGCTTCACCAACAGCGCAATTAAATGTTCAAATATTTGTGTTACCATCAAGCTCTGCTCTCCACACTGATGCTGGCTCTGTAGTGGTTGTCCAGGGGCGGGCCTTCGGCGAGACGGTGGGAGCAGGAACCTTCACAGCCATGTCCGTCACAGCAGCCACCGCCTCACTGTTAACTAACACCAAGACAGAAAGTCGATACTCAGCCAGAATAAACACAGATCAGGTTGGCGACACATCTAATATGGGAGTCCTCATTTTTTGGTCAACTAAAGCATTTTAATAGAGAGATCAATGCTTGGGGTGTCTTTTCTGGTAATAGATGAATACTTTTCAGGTGACATTTACCTGCAGGCACAACAGCCTCAACCTTCTCTACTTTCACTTTGGCAGATTCTCCTGAAAATAAAGAAACAAAAAGGGGTCAACATGCTGTATGCCAAGAACAACATCCATGAAAGCCTGTTAATGGAGGCAACATAGACAAACACTTCAGCTGAAGCACTTCAGGGGAAATGCATTCTGGGAGTCAATTTAATTCCCCATAAAGCCTGTATTTATAGACCATCCTTTCAACAAGAGACCAATCAGATGCAACAACAGCCTATACAGAACAAAAGACAAAAACATCTCTCTCTCTAGGTTCCACTTTAGGCTGTTTGTCAGAGAGAATCCTGGAGGTTTTATTTGAATTTATTCAAGAACAATATAATTAACATACTTCTTTCTTCTTACAAATCCTAAAACTCTACCCCAAAATGAAAGATACATGGATTTCAGAGTTATGCATTTTATCAGCCACCTTTTGTCTTCTTCTGGCTGGCAGGCGGGGGAGCAGCGGAGGCCTTTGGCTGCTCTTGGGGAGCGCTCACAGGTGTGTGTCCTCCTCCAGGACTGTTGGAGCCATCACTGGAGCCCTTATCCTTCTTGCGTTGCTCACGCTTCTCCTTGTTGCTGACCTTGGTCTCCCATGTGCCTGAAAAGAAACATTGTGAACACAGTGGAATTAGTTGCAAAGTACTGAAAGTTTTCATTTTGGGATTAGTGAGAAAGTTTGGAATGGATTAGGCAGGATACCGGATCAGACATATCTTAATGGGAACGTAAGGTCACATTCTACAATAATAGGTTGAGTATAAAACACTTTCTTATGTTTTGTTACAAAGGCCTTGTTCAAATTAAACAAAATAGTTAAGAAGTAAGTAATTCCCTATTTGGTGCAATGGCTTTGTAACTGAAAAATAGTGGTTTACTAAGCATCAACATAAACAAAGAAAGGCCTCATATACATCCTAACAATTCACCTTCTTCTGGTTCTTTGCGAGCTGCAGTCACAGTCTTTGTCTCCTTCACAGCCTGTTTGGCCTTCTTCTTAGACTTCTTTAACTAGAAGAGAAAGAGATCAAATAATAAAGACAACATTAAAGAATGTCTAAGAGAGAGTTTAAAGAAACAGGTTAAGAGATACAGTTGATACTTGATTACACATATGATTTCATCTCCAAGAACGGCAACTGGGCAAGGGGCCCCATGCTGGCTGAACAGGGCCGTCAATCAAATCAGCACGCTCAAGCCATGTCTATAAATACTGTAGGTGAAACTACACACACTGTCCAAGAAGCCCTTAATATGTTACATGTGCTATTTGGTTAACACCATTTCCAGCTCTAGTGAATGCACGATCACATCCTTAGATTGAGCACATGTATGACCACATTACGTGTCACTTTAGGCCTTACACAGAGGATGGCATTGAAAGAAAGGCTGCCCTTTTGCTGTCCTAAGCCAGGAGACATCCACAAGGATTTTGTTGCATCTGCAGGTTAACAACTGTAACATTACACTGGTAGCGGGTCTGGTTGAAGCATTGCAGGGTGACAGGGGTTTTCTTAACTGATTTACAGAGATGAGTAACCGAGAAATAATGATGTGCTAACATTTATATAAACAAAACCTTGGTGCACCATCACACTAAACGGATCAATATGTTCAAGTCACATCAATATAATGAGTGTGTGTGTGTGTGGCCATTCTTCTTTGTTATAGCAAATTACCTCTGCAGCCTTCTCAGCCTTGGATTCTGGTGGGGGCGTCTGGTGATGTGGCACTATCTCTTCAGATTCTATGGCTTCTTCCTGTGGTTCAGCAACAGCTCTCCCATTAGGCTGGGATTTCTGGAATAAAGAAACATTAAGAGGGCCATGAAAATGTCAGCTATATTCTATTCACAAAACCCATATGTAACAACTCCCAAGGCTAGCATATACTGGACGGACATTAGCCTGAAGCTAGCTAGGGTTTTGACATGCTAACTAGGGTTTTGACATGAGTTTCAACTGTCACTGTGGCCGTATCGGGTGCCGACTGATTTAATTTATGCTACGTGCCTTTTCCGTCTTCTTCTTCTTTTTCTTCTGTTCCTCGGATTTGACAGGTTTACTCTCATCGCGTTTCAATTCAAACCCGTCGTCCAGAGGCCTTACATCGGGTCGTTTCTTGAAGAGAGACCGGCAGGTTGAGGCCCACAGAGCGACCAGGAGCAGTAGCCCGCTACATGCCGCTAAGAGGATCACCCATGGCGGAATCAGCTCAGGCTTCAGCCCCAAATCCACGCCGAGCTCGGATCGCAGCAGTCCCAGACCTTTGGACAACAGTTCATTCAGACGAGTTGTAAGCAGCTTGACCTGCTGAGAGGCCTCGTCCTGCCACTGCTCCATTTGTATTGTGTTTCAAACAAACCGATTAGTCACGCTTTACTCGCCGCTATTAGCTAAGCTAGCCTGCAGTGCTAGCTAAAAATAACAGAACGACTTCGACATAATGAAAGACAAAACATGCATCCCTTCCTCCACTAGCAACATCGGCCCAAAGCCATACAACCTGCTAGCTGCAAGCTAAATCGCTTTACGGCTGTGGTGACACAAGTTAACTAACATAATATAATATGCTCCGTTAGCTGACCACCACTATGTGCCGTGAGGATTCACCTCATATGGCTCCGTTTTGACTGGAGGAGAAACGGTGCCTTCACTGTCGCTGGTAATTTGGAAGTTCCAGGTTGTAAATAGCAACCACCAATTCTAGCATTTCTTCCGAAACGATAATTTAAGTAAAAATAATGTTTTTGTGTGAAATACATTGAAGACAAGATTGTTAGGATGTGTTTTTCAAACACAAAAGGATTACACCAACTATTTATAATTGTTTTATCTTTGTTTTCTCTTATCCCAACCTAATTAACTAGATACATAAAATTCCGTTTATTACAAAATCTCTTGAAGGCAACACAAAGATGTGACAGCTCCACTTAAATGGGCGGGGCTAAGATTTCTCCCATCAGGATTGGCCTAAACTATGGGTCAAACTCCCATTACAAAAAATATCAAATGCTGTGGCAAACTGTATTACAATCATTCTGTATATCTACTACTGGCATTTTCCTCCACACAAAACTTATTTATTAAAACCTTACTTTGTAAGGTGTGTCTCTTATATTGTTTCATTTATCACAATGCAGATACCCCAAAACGTGGTGCAGAACAGCAGACAAACATGATAATTAAAATACTATTTATACTACTATAGCTGTTACCCAATGGCCTATGAAGGGATGGGGTAAAGAAAGATGTGATTGCTCTATCTGGTATGTAGCAGGTCTCAAATGTGTCACAGATGAGCAGCTTCCACTCACAATAATTTAAGATGATGATGCTACCACTATTAAAAGGACTTATAAAAAAACAAAACAAATCGGACAACTTATTTGCATCCAAGTTTATTTTTGAAATTCCCTACTCCCCCTGTACAAGAAAAAAAAGGACTTTCCACAAAGGCAGCAGTGAACTGTCAGTGATAGTACTTTTCTAGGGAAGGAAAAAAAACGTATAATCACAGTGTGTCTTCTTTTAAATACTTCTACTGCTGTCATCTTTGGCTGGGTTTCGGCAGACAGCTTTCTGTCAAACCACATTCCTGGGAAGCAAAAGTTTAAGCCAATAGATCAGGGCTGTGGGCTTTAAGTTTTACAGTGCCAATGCAGGAATGTTCTGGACTGTATACCTCTTCTTCATTAAACACAAAGAAAAAAAAACAATAAAAATTGAAATAAAAATAACAAGCCGTTTGTGTTCACAACACAAACGAATATTACCGCCTGGGGAGATAGCGACAGTATGTCGATTTTCATAAAATTGTATAGACAAAAAATAAATCTACAAAAATGGAGCTAGGTAAATATTACACAACAGTAAACAGGTTTTTTTTTTTTTTTTTTTTTTAAACTCTTCTCTGTTCAACCTCTACACAAAACCAAAGTTCTTGGTCTTAACGGCTAGCAGGAGTTTCTGTTTGAGTATCTGTTTAGAAGAATAGAGTGGCACGTAGAGACGTGAGATGCAGGTGTTGGCTGTCGGGAGGTGCAGGTCATCTGGAGGCCGGATGGTGATGGAGGGCATCGGCTGGAAGCCCTCCTCACTGGCCGGCAGAGACGGGCTGGAGGTCCAGAAGTACACCTGGGGAAGAGGGCGAAACACATTCACATGTCACATTCAAAGCTTTTGTAATGTTCTACCGTTTGTGTACTCGGACAAGTGAAAAGCAAGACAGCCTTTGAACAACATCATAATATTGAAAAACATAAACAAATCTTTGGTGTTCACTATTGCTCGTTAAGAATCTCTGATAATTAAAAATAAAAAACAAATGTCCCGCCACTAAGTGTTGTCTTTGAAACCAAACAGAATCCCAACCATGCACAATCCCAGGCTCCATCACAAGCACACTACTACCTATTTAAAAAAGGGGAATTATCCCCCTTCTTTTTTAGCACTTAAACATTGTAACATTGTACATATACAATGTTTAGGATACTGACGGAAAATAAGAGAAACACAAAACAAGCAGAGGAAGGAGAGGATTTAAATAATAACTGACATTTCACTGACCAACACCCAACTGCTCCTTAGTTGTTCTTTATTTTACCAATTTTATGCACAGCAAAAATAGTTGCAGTCAATATGAGCTGTAGTGTGGGTCATGTGTGAAGCCATTGTGCAATAACATGTCAGTCCAAGATTTACCACAGCATTTGGGAGCTAATGGAGCTTGCCCGTTGAAATTCAATCTTAATAATGTCAATTTGTGTAACAAAAGAACAGTTTTTGAAAATGCTAAGCACTGAACTGCTGACAGCCCCGGCGAGTCTCTTTGTTTTGAAGAACAAGTATCATGATTGGAAGAGACTTACCAGATCTTGCCTCTCAGTCATGCTCATCTTCTCCACTATGGACCAAAACCAGCGTTTAAACTGCAGCAGTTTGTCTGCATTTTCCCCTGTTGGATGAAGTAAAACACTTTGCTTACTTTGTCACAGCGGAAATAGACAACCATAAATATATTTTCTTTTCTGAATGAATGAATGCAAGGAACAGAGATAAGATCGAGGTGTAAACAGAGCAGAGGAGATCCAGACAGAGCAGCATACCAGACTCATCATTGAAGGAGGTGAAGCTAATGAGCATCTGGACGTTGACTTCTCCACAGCCGTTGACCAGCAGCCTGAAATCCTCAGCTGTCAGGTCCTCCAGGGCGTTCTTAGGAAGCACATCCAGCAAACCCTTCCTCATCGCCTACCAAAAACAGACACTTAATTACAGGCGTCTATATGCATTTTGGTGTAAAAACATTTGTTCCAATATACTGAGAATTTGAGAACATTTTTGTTCAAAGCCAAATAAGAGAAAGTCAGAATTTTTTTTAAGTGTTGTACTTACGTGGAGAGGCTGCTCAGCCACCACCAGCATTCTGTGCTCAGCATACTTCCTTACGTACTCGTACACGTTGAGAGGAGTTACCGGCATGTTGACCCCGCCAGACAAAAGCTCCACCTGAACCAGGAGTAATGAGGCATTCATAAAAACATTATGCCACAAACATATTTCACTATTTATATGATGCTTTTGAAAAATTAACCGCAAGCTCTACATTCACGAAATCAGTGTCCTGTGATGCCAATAATGCATAGCTGAAAGGTGGACTTTCTTCACAGATTTAATTCATTTGGTGGTAAAATCTACAATTGGGGACATAATGACAGTGTAGTCCTTTACCTGTCCTGCCCCTTCCTCTTTGCAGAGGTCGATGGCGAAGGCGAGGTCCATGGCAGCAAACACCGCCTCTGCTTCTCCAGCCTGAGAGTGGCGGATGAGCTGCCGCAGGCTCTCATACATGACCGGGTCAAAGAATGCAAAGTCATGCCAGTTCACCTACAAAAACAAGTGATTTTAGCAATTTCATTCTGAAAAGCTCCAACATCATGTAGTAGCTTAGTTATAGAACACATTCTCTTACCTTCCTTCCAAGCAGCACTTTGATGACATGTCTGTTCAATGTGATTGGACAGAGTTCATTCTGAAGCAGACATAAGCCCAGTATTCTGTGGAGACAATACAATGCGTTTAATAGGTTTCCCTATTTCTATAAAGACTGTTACTTCCAACATAGTTCTCTTATTTTCTCTGATTTTGATCAAACTGGAACAAATATAATTCCTTTCAAGTGTGACAAAAAAATGTGGACATTTCCTTACCTTCCAATGTTGCGGAAGCAGTTCAGCCTGGCCTCTGTGTTCTTGCCGGGCCTGGGGGAGTAGAAGCCTCTCTTTCCGGGCTGGTAGAAGAGAGGAGCGTTGTCGTCCCCATCGTCCGGGTCGTCCAGCTCCATGTCCACCACACTGCGGGTCGAACCATGGCGTTTACGGTTCTCCTGCTGCTGCTGCTGCTGTTGTTGTTGTTGTTGTTGTTGTTGTTGCTGCTGCTGCTGCTGCTGCTGCTGTTGCTGCTGCTGCTGCTGCTGCTGCTGCTGCTGCTGCTGCTGCTGCTACCACACAGAACGGAGGATGATGTTTAAATGATATGTATGATACAGTTGCTTTAATGTTGCTTTATGTCCACGAGTTAGTATGCAAAAACAACCCTCATTATAACAAACGAGAGTGGAAAGTTGTGTTTACTTGTGCTTTCTCTGGAGCTTCCAATAGACCAAGGTCCAATATACTGTCGGCACCATTTTCCCTAAAAGAGATAGAATTATGGTTAGTTTATAAAACTTAGAGATACAATTCTGTGACAACTTTATTCTGATTTAATTCACAGTCCACCCAAACTGTCACACACAATGAGAGCAGGATGCTATGGTGAACAGATGGTTACCTTCCATGTGCGATGAGAAGCTCCATGGCCTCCTCCACCCTGGCTCGGAGAGAGTCCTCACTGGCCAGCAGCAGCAGCAGCTGGGCAGGGGACAGCTCCAGCAGCATGCCTGTGATCTTACTGGCAAACGCCTGAGGGAACAACACACAGCGGCTTTCTCAGTATGCTGGACAGATTCAGATTGGTAGTAGAGATGTCCCGATCCGATCACGTGATCGGGGATCGGAGCCGATCACGTGATTTTCAAAAGATCGGAATCAGGAGAGAAAAAAATCGGGGATCGGGATTTCTTTTCTTTTTTTAATAAAATATTTTTATTATTTGATTTAATGTTACAAAACAAAAAGGACCATGTTCGCGTCTTAAAGTCATCCTGAGGCCTTAGTTTTGGTTTAAAATTAAACAACATCATGTATGTGTTGCTTCTTTTGGGCTTGTTTTCAGACCTGGTTGCTTATTTCTCTCAAATCTGGCAACAGAGTGGGCAGGGCGCAGTGTCTAATAGTAGCAGTAAGCTAACGAGAGGCTACGTTCAGCTGGTGACTCGGGAGTCGGGACAGAGAAAATGTCAGGAGTTTGGAAGTACTATACAATTGAAAGTGAAGGCAGTGTAACAGCCAGATGCAATGTTTGCAAGGCGGAGACTTTTAAAAGGAAAGAGAAACTGCCCCAGAACAGTGAAAAGGCCAAAAAAATAACAGCCAAGATAGCTGAATTCATCGCATTGGATGACCAGCCGTTA